TTAACGGATCGTTCAGCTGTAGAAAACAGGGGGCAGGAGCAAGTTCATGTATAAGGAGTTTATCTCAGTAGTCCCCCCAAAATAACGCCTCTCTCCGTGCCTTTTGACCTGTTTCAAGGGTCTACTTTAAATACATGTACTTGCATAGGTGGAGGTGGGGCAGGGCACACTCGTGTGAAATGCCCTCCGTTACTCCTTTCCAAATTCCACAGGCAGGGCCAGGGTTTGTGTCTCCTGCCAACCAGGAAATCTCCCAGGAGATCTAGTTAGGTTATCTTTGTATTAGTGTGATGGGTTGTGATTGCACACGGAGTGCCTTGTGTAATTTATCTTGTTAGCTGCTTGTATTGTTTGGACATAGCGGCTCGAATCACTATTCGCTAGACCTGTGGAGGTTTTTTTTTACATGTAATATGTTTCAGGGCTTAGTTCTTTGACCTTTGTTTTCCTCACGCGCATGCACTACCAGGACTTAAAATAAAAAAAAAATGGCAGTCGGGTCAAGTTTTGAAAAAAAAAATTGTTTTATGCATGGCATCATACGTATTATGACACTGTCTTGTAATTTAACCGTATATGGGTAGGATAAAGTACTTAAGGAATCGGAAATAAAAGATTGTTGGTTTGGCCAACTGAGGGAACTGCCAATATGTCTCATGTGTATACTTCCTCCTGTAGAGCAAAAATTTCCATGTGGGGTCATTATTATGCGAGTAAAAAACTGAAAACAATTGGGGCCCACATATAAAACCGGATTTTTAAAGACCCGGACTCAAGAGACTGATTGACCTCTTCAAGGATCCAGAGAACGTGATAGAAGCCGTGAAGGACACGCACCACTGATTTACACAGTGCTTGAAAACAAAAGAAGACATTCGTAAGGGCACGCACCACTGATTTACGCAGTGCTTGAAAACGAAAGACATTCGTGCGGAGATTGACGTTCCTCTCGTGGATAAAATTCGGTGTAATAAATGAGTCTTCCATGTGTTGTGTTTCTCATTCCGTTTTATTGAAAATGTTCTTGGTGAAATGTTTTCAATTATGTTGTCATAAATGCATGGACAACCAAACTCTATAACTTATTTTTTTTAAGGTAGTGATTCCCTGCGACGTGATACACGACCTCTTGAATGAAACAACGTTAATTGAGATCACGTACCTTCTATTTTATGTAATGTCAATCTTTGTGCTGGTACTTCGGCCATATTAATCCTTTCTTGAAGAACTGAATTTTATAAACGATGAATGGACTTGCAGTGAATTATTAGTCCGTATAGACCTTTCGAACTTGTCATATTAATTACTGGCAGATGTGTTAAGCGTCTCCGTTTGTTTGTTTGTGTTGATCAATCTACAGCTACAACTACGCCTGACAACTACGCCTGACTTTAAGTTGTTACCTGCCACAATCCTGACTTCACTATATTTGAGTCACCCGTGCTTTACATGTACCTTTGTCACCGCACTACCAGCAGCAGGCACTCAGTAGACCAGTTTACTAATCAATTCTAATTTGTGTGCGCATGCACATAAATGACAAGTGAGACAACGAGCTTGAGTGGCCCTTTGAAAATGCAAAATTTCAACGTTATTTCAGCGGCTGCAATATATATTGTTCACTTTGGTTTTTGCAAAACCCTCCAAAATTATTACAGCTATTATTTTCTGGTCTGAAAGGATTTTACATTGCATGAAGTTTAACAAACACTCGTCCGGAGCACAAGAGGTCCAAAGAAATTAGCCGGACTCCTTTCTGACAATGTCCAATTCAGTAGTTTTGCGCTTGTACATGGTACCTTGTGGGGTACCAGAACAATGAAGGTACTCCACAAGGCCGGTTTTGATCCTTGTGGGGTACTAAAGTGGTACCCCGCAAGAATTTCACTTAAAAAGATTCCTCCATTTTACTCAAATGGAGGAATTTTCAAGTGCCATTCATGTGTCGAAAATTGAAGTGTTTGATATAAGGGAAATACGGTCGAAATTTCAACCCAGGAAACTGAATTTGGTTGAAATGGCAGTGATTTGAATTTTTTCCCGTCTTGTGTGGGAGTTTTGTACACGATAACAAAGGAAATACCCTACAAGTATACATAAGTAAGGGTGCGTGAACTTCAGGAGGCCATGCACCATTGGTACCCTACTGAATCATGGGCTGAAGGCAGGTGAATTGCGGACTACTTTCAGACTGGTTTAGGCTTGTTTTGCCAGTCACGTCGTCGACCGAGAAGGATGGATGCTATCTTATCGTATCGCTCAATTTATTTTATAGCTCACCGAAAGAAGCGAATCTTTCGTTCTCATGCGCTTCGATCGAACGAAGTTTTTCATTTTGCTCTCCAAAATTTCTCTCACACCAAAAAGCAATAGCAATAATGTTTAAAGGGTTTTCCGAAGACAGAAATTTAAAAAGTGCATAAGCTAAGAGAAAATTGAAAGTAAAACACCTTGAAATTTGTGCCCCTGTACATTGTCAGTAGGCCATAATTGTCAAGCTTGTTGCCTCACTTGCCATTTATGTGCATATGCACGTAAATCAGAATTTAGGAGTGAACTAGTGATTGCCCAACCTCTGAATTTCAAAGCACGGGGATGCTTTCTTGGAAGTGAATTATGTGGAAACAGAATGACGCACACTTGCGCAGTATCTGAATGGGACCAGCATTATTACATCCCCTACCCGAAGGGAATCGAAACAGGCTTGTCAATCAATCTGTTGACCTGACATTAATTATGATTTTACATGACGATTCATGTGCTCCTTAAATGACGATTCATGTTTGCTCCTTAGGTGAAGGTTACAGTGTCGAGCTTCAATTCTTGTTTTTTTAATTTTCTGTGGGTAGGAATTTTATTACCAGCTTCCCTACCAGCATAATTTACAAAACAAGAAGATAAATAGTGTAAGCCCATGCTTGACCTTATTTATTGAAATCTAGCAGTCTCCACGTTTATCAAATCTCTGTCAAAGTTTAGGCGTGCGCTGAAATTTAAGAGAAGTGGACGTGATATCAACCTCAGAATTTGACTCGGAAATCTCAGCCTGTGCACCTGCCGTTGAGGTGTTTCTCCAAAACGCAAGTATGATAGTAGATTTATAGTGAATCCAGTGTTCTTCTTTTGTCATTACAATGATCACCAGTAGACTGTGTGATACTTATGCGACCTCCTGTTGTACTATCATGTATGATATTCGAATTCCAAATAGGTAACTAATAAATACGCTCACCTGTAATACTTAAACACGCCCCCTCTAAAAAATTTTGACAAAGGAATAAGTGTTTTTAATATCGCAGACGATTTTAAAGAAAAGCACATTCTAACCACCCTTAAAAACTGCAGTTGAACTGCAAAATCTTTCCCCTCATTTTATTGGGGTAAACGATTGTTGGATTAAACTCTCCTCAAAAGTCACGTTTACATAAAGTGCTGCTGCAATCGTTTCCTTCAATTTGTACTTTGTATTTTAACGACAGTTTTTGCTTACATGTAATTTGTTATGTCGACGTTTTGTATGTTAATCTTTTATTTGACGTTGTTATTTGTAAATTAGACTATAAGTTAGTTACTTTGAGTTTTGCACAAAAAGAAATGAGACCGAGTGGCACCCCCTACACGTCTAACCCCTTCCCATACTCAACATTATTGTCAACTAATACCACCCCCAGATGTCTTAACTGAATTCCTGAGACTCCAGTTAAACAATAACCAACAAAAAGCGGGGGGGGGGTTCTCTCCGTCTCATATCTTGCTTCCAATGACTTCGAGAGTCTCTGAGCAAACCACAGTTAAAATTACTGTAAAGTTTCTTGAATATCTGAAAGTGTTTTTAGTTACGAAAATTATCCGTTGCCTTTTTTCAGAAATGGTTGTGGTGACTGCTGTGCTCCATGTCTTTGCCTGTTTCGCCTTGTTCTTTTCTATTAGCAAGGGATTTATCGGTATGAAGTTGATTGGGCTGACTTTATTAACATTGGTTTCAGTCATGAAATTGTCACTCAAGGGCAGAGCGTTATAATCGAAACCTTTACCTGACGCTTTACCCTTGAGTAATTAATTCATAACTGAGACCAACTGTTTCACCTTTGCAAATGCGCCAATACACTTGACAACCAGCTTTTGTGTATTGTTATGTCTGTAGCATGCGTTGTATATTACATAATTGTCTTATTGTATAGTTTACGGAGTAATGTTAAAAAGAATGGCCCTCTCCCGGTTCAGTTCTAATTATAACTTCAGAATATTCCCATCAAAAGACTATTTTTGGGTGGTACTTTCCAACTGCGGTTTACTGAAAGTCATTCTTTTATCAACATTATGTCGACAAAATGGCGTCCACAAGATGGCATCGTAGGCCTAATTAGAATATATTTCATACTTAGCTTGAAAAAACGGGTATGATTCTACTGCCCGTTTTCCATCAGTGGTGGGAAGATGAAAGTCAAAGCTTTCTTTTTTATCCAAGCATTGTGCATAAAAGTAACTCGTTTTGCTTCAATTAATTCATTGCAGTTCCTTGTACAGAACCTGGGGCATTTGCTTGCGGGGACGGCTGGTGTCTCCATCCGGAAATGATCTGCGATGGTGTACCCGACTGTTCGAATGAAATTGATGAAAGGTTGTGCTGTAAGTGTGGTATGAAGGCGCAGTAGAGGCTTCAAACAATGCTGCACCATCATGACAGCTGTTGAATTTCTGCATTCATGTCTTGTTTCACAGGAATTATTGATTTAATTGAAATGAATCCGTAGATCCCCTTTCAGCCATTCCCATCTGCAGGACAATGCTTCTCAAGCAAAGTCAGCCACTGTGTTTATTTACTCCCTTTGACGAAAGTCTCCCAACTGTATCTCCTATTCCCTCATACTGCACGCGGATTAACACATAATCCTGAATTAATCATCTTGTTGGATTCTGTTTCCTTTTAGCCTCACCAAACTTCATCCCAGGCTCATTCAAATGCAGATATTCCTTGAACGAGCTTCGTATATCTTATGAAGCCAGGTGCTCTGATACTGTGGAATGCCCGGGGGCCTCTGACGAGCTTGGATGCGGTAATTGGTCTCGATGTAACTTCTGAAAATGGTTTTCAAGAATCCGTTGATATTTATATGTCAGGATTTTCCAACATCGATTGTAACATGCCTACAAAATATGAACTATTTCAATCGATATTTCCATTATTATTCTTACTCTTCAGATCATTATATCCGTTTTTTTACCTGGAAATAACATCAGAAAGGAATGTAACAACACTAACAGTTTGATTACTTTATTTTACCCGTCACTTTTGACGTGTAGTTGACAATTGCCAACTATTTATATTTTACATGTATTTTATTTCAGGACCAGATTACGTCTGCAGAGCAGACGAGTTTTATTGCCGATGGGACAACTCATGCAGAGACTACACGGAGTTATGTGATGGTATACACAACTGCCCTGGATTTGATGAGTCTTTCTGTAGTAAGCCCTTGCCTCATTCTTGATAGCTTTCACTTTATTGGTTTTAGCCAGCTATTTCTTTCTTATCAGGTTCAACACAAGGGAACATCTCTTGGTGCGAAACAGTTAATTGGAACGTTCAGTGTAAAACGCCCCGTAATTGCAGAACGAGCGGCCGTTTTACTAACACGGTATTCCCATAAAGCTTGAACGTTGACACCTGATGGCGTGCTTTGCTGAACTCTTGAACGGAGTTACATTTTAAAAATACATATCGGGGAATTATCAGCAATAACAAAAAAGAAAACACTTCAAGGTCTTCAAGATCTTCTTCATGAAGCGGCCATTCAGAACGGTAACGCTGTCACTCTATTGAAGTGCATGCAGTGGTATAACGCTAGGGTGTGTGGCACACCAACAGATGGATGGTTGAGGAAAACGAAAACACCCTATAGGTTAAAATTAGAAAACAAGGTAAATAAAAACCAAAAAGAATCCTTATAATAGAGGTAACACAACCAATAAATTATAGGAATTTATCAGTTTATGACATAAACATATCAAATGAAAATAAGGAAAACGACGACGAATAGGTCAAAAATCAAAGGGAAATAGACAGTAAGAAAATAAAATATTTGACCGACAAACGTTTTCCATTTCAGGTTATTCATAGCTCTTAGGTTTGTTTTTGACATTTCTTAATCTTACTTCAATTTGAATCTGCATGTTTACGAAATGGATTGGCTTTCTGCGGAATCAAAAATAAGGAAATCAGCTAAATCTTTAACCGAACCAGCTTTTAAGGAGTGCAAACATTTATTCCCAAAATAGAGATATCTCTATTGCAAAAGTTTGCAAAGTTAACATTTATTCGTGAAAAAGATATTTACCGTATAATCCTGAAATAGCTTACTTGAAAGAAAGTTGATGACATTCTCAACCAGTGTCTTAAACATTTTCACCCAGAATGATGTAGTTTTAAGAAAACAAAAAGTTTGTTCTCTGTTTTTACGATGGTCGGCCGACCGTCGTAATAGAGTTAATTTCACTTCGCATGTCACATTCTTTAACAGGGGTCAGTTTTCTTATGTTGTGTTTGAAGATGTTGTGGGAATTTTCCATTAATGAATTAATAAACCTAAAAGCAGCTAAAAATATACCGACATTCTTTCACCAAAAGCACTGTGAACTGAATAATAGAAACCCAAGTGTTAAACGTAAAGTTGAAAATAAATTAGATCAATGTCAAGTTGGATTTCATTCAATGAAAGCTTTTGCGAATTCAAGATCACTCCTAGATAATAATGGTATGATCGAATATGGTGGCTGTTTCCGAGCATGATGATTTTCGTCAACAAAAAGTACGATTCCACAAGTTAATCCTCCGTTGTTTTAAGACATATACTTACTTTTTAATTAATAACTAATTTTTAACAACCCAACTATGGAGTTTTACACATTCATTGACGCGTCTGAACTGACATGACAGTGCCATTATGCGCACGATCGCGCGTGCATGTGCATTATCATTATAGGCCTACTCGTTTCGATGTCACGGACGCGTTTCGACTGCCGTGTTCGCGTTTTAATTCCTGGGGGAAATTTCTCCACGAATCCGCAATGCTACATTGTCAAGGAGTCGCATATTACTCTAAGTTAATTCACTGATTACTTCTAGCTGTTGAAAACTGCTCCTTTCTAAAGGGAACGAGAACCTGTCATGCTTGTTCCCCACCCTGACATAGCCCCACTAGTGTGGCACGGACTCTCACTCCCGATCCATCCTTAGCCACATACCCGTCTACGCAATTTTGTGTCGGCGTACTGAACATTTTCAGCGCACCCATTTATCATTATCTTTTGCACACAGACATGATCCCTAACCTTTCCGCTTTCTAAAAACCTTTATTGAATGATTTCACTCAAGTTATTTAGGTATTTTCCAGTCTTGTTGCCTTTATCCATTCAATCTAACGGGCTCGCTCTCACAGTCGCCATCTTTAAAATAGGGTCGTTGAACATAACGTCACTTGACCCCTAATCTTCTCAATGGCTGTTCCATGTCAAGACATCTAATCTGCTGCCAAAGTTTTAGAAGCGCCCATTAGTACATGTAGTATCTTATCGCTCAGTCCGTGTATTACATATGTCTCGATCTTATTTTAAGGATGGCAACTGTGAGAGCAAGCCCGTTAGATTGAATGGATAAAGGCAAAAAGACTGGAAAATAGGTGAATAACTTGAGTGAAATCACGGGGGAAATAAATGGGTGCGCCGAATATGTTCAGTACGCCGACACGTAATTGCGTATTCGGATGTGTGGCTAAGGATGGATCGGGAGTGAGAGTCCGTGCCACTCTAGTGGGGCTAACCCTGACCCCGCGGACGATGTTCACTTGTACTGCGAACGCCCAATAAGCCATAGATTTTACGCAATATAAACTGCAAGACCTTCCAATTAAGCGTTGAAAATGCTGCGCTATTTTTCTCGATATTTCACAAAGCAGTTGACTCAAACATGAAACAAGTGAGTGTAATGTAAGTTGCAGTGAATATTATACACTGTAATTAGCCAACCTTGTGAAATTACAACAAAAAACCAATAGTGTACACCACCTTTAATAGAGATACAAGTACCCCTCTCTTAGAGATACAAGTATCTCTATTGGTTATTCGAAAGAGACAAAAAAATCTAATAGAAATAGAGATATCTTTGTAGATATAAAGATATCTTTATTAACCATATAGATTAAATGTCGATTTTGCACGCCCTTGTCGTCGCTAAATTAAATGAATATTGTGTTCCACCAAAACAAATCCTAAATTTAACACACTGCTTAAGGAAACCGAATGGCTCAAAACTAAGTGGAAGCCTGACTTCGGAAGTTAAAACGCAGTAAAACTGGAGTGGCAAAATGGCTGTAGTTCGAATGCACAACAATTAAATTGGCTGCTCTTTTGCCGAAATTGATCGGGGAATACCTATACGAAATAAAGTTCGACCAAACATGCTTCACGTGTATCGTGTGTTACGTGCGCTGGGTTTATACAGGCATTACATATTACACGCGCCGTGAACGCTCGCTGAGTAGTGCAAAACCTGTCGACTGTTAGACAGACATGAATGCATCACGTACACTCTAAAACTTCCGGGTCAGATTGACCCAGAATTGGGTCCCATTCGGCGTGACCCTTTCTGGGTCAAAATATGACCTGCTTTCGGGTCATAGGCCTATTTGACCCTCCTGTGTTATAATTTGACCTGGAAAAGGGTCATGCCGAATGGGACCCAATTCTGGGTCAATCTGACCCGGACGTTTTTAGAGTGTACGTTAATTCTTTCAAAATGAAATATTCGAAAACATGTTTTGCGATTCTCACCAACGAAAAGTCAATTAGGTTGCCAAGGCCCAACTCCTCAACCAGTTAAAGACATGAAGATCCGCTGCCATTGCCCTGACATATAGGCAAGAGCTATAGCTTGTTTTATGGTATCTAGGTGCGCGTGCAGTAAACTATATCGCAACAAATGCTTATTTGCATGCTTATTATTCCTTTTAATTATTCTGTACTCTTTACCCTTCGTGCTGTATATATAAACTGAGATAAAATACTTCAACCTTACCAAATACTCCTTGGAATTGAATGGATGGAGCGAAAATATCGACCAAATTAATCGGGCAAAATTTACTCAATATCCTGTCAGAAACCATGGCCAACACTGGCCGTTTTATGGATTTACTCCGAATAAGAAAAATACACTATGGTTAAACCCACAGCGTAATCCATTCTCAAGCCCAGGTCTATCGCAGGTTCAGGATGTTGGCCACATGAGGCAAGATTTAGGACTTTACCCTATTATAAGTACACGGAGACGTTCAGAAAACAGATCTAGCCGAAACTCCGAAAGCTCGTTGCGGATAAATACATTAGAACGGTCTATGCACGAAGCAGGCATTTTCTATGGATGCGTGAACGTTCGCGTCAAAAGGTAGCGTTTTTAAATTTTTGTTTTCTTTTGAATTTGTAGATTCTGTATGCGGTGGGAACGAATATGTAATACGCCCTCAAGAGGAAACTTTCTTTGAATTCACCTCCGCACATTTTCTACACCCCAGTGGATTTTACGTGTGTTCGTGGTCAATTGTGAGCGAGGTGAACGCCTACGTGTTTTTTGAAATCCTCACGTTGGATTTACAACCAAATTGGAAGTTTCGTGTGTCGGCTGGACTGGGCCGGGACCCAACAGTGGTCCAGAGTACGATTTTCATCACTGACTCTCCCTCTTATAATGAAAAAGTCTTCATTGGAAATCAAACATCGACTGCTTGGATAACAGTGAGCTCTAGCCAGTTCCTACCCTTCACATACGGCTCATTTGGTGCATATGGACCCTCTGAGCCTTATGTTGCAATGGATATCTACCAGCGGGATGAAAGTATGTAACTCCTACCCTAATTTCAAAGTAGGGTATAAATGCTAAGAGAATATCTGAGATTTTCTGAGAATTTTACTTCTGAAGCTATTGTGGTACAGTCTTGCAATTATTGATACCTTTTGTACATACATGTAGTTCATAAATCTTTTGTCCAATTTTCTAAACGTCAATTACATTCTATCATGGAAAGTTTAAATTCTATTGCTCATTACATATAGCTGCATTCCATTTTTACAAAACCATAGACCCGGAATCCACATAAAATTAATTGTTAGTAAGTTCGGGGATGTAATTTTGTAAATTTGATGTGCACAGTCCTCAAACTTTCGTATAGCCCCCTCCCCAAAACTAAGGAATCGCAATTTTGTATTCATTTTTTAAAGTTAATTTTAAATGACTAGTCTGTAATCATTTTGCATTATGCGCGATAGACACTAGCTTTTTTTAATTTCAAATTGAAAGAGCAATAGCAAAAGTTAAAAGGGGACGTCACGTGCAAAGGGTCTTGCCCTCAAAATAATGGACTCTAGAACCCCACCTGTGGTGGAATGGAATAGCTGAAAGTTCGGGTAATGAATGCCCACAATAATCAATATGTTCGTACTTTATCCCCCCTTTGCAGGAATTTGTCCCGATGAATTTATCACTTGTGGAAATAAGTTGGAGGTAACTGTTTGCATTACCAGTTATGCGTTGTGTGATGGCAAGTTTGACTGTCCAGACTACTGGGATGAAAGCCAGTGTAACTATATGGGTAAGGCTGATGCAAGAAACCCCGTTAAGACAATCTGTGTTAGAAAAGATGGCCCAGTAAAATTCATCTTAAATTACGCAAGTATTCTTCGTAAGATTAAATTTTCTTGCGTATCCTTCGTTACTGGAAGGCAGCATTCCGTTAAAACATATACAAAATCTATGTACAAATGACATACTTCATTAGCGTATACTTTTTACTTATATATCGCTTTTAGAAACTAAATATCGTTTTTTCAATTCAACATCGTCACAGATATATGCAGCTATCAGCAACATCAATCTTTGAATTCTGAGGAAAGGAGGGACTTTGAAGTCAGTGCTTCGCCGTTTGGTAAGAGCTGCTTGTTCTTTGTAGCTACACCACCTCAGTCTCGAGTTGAAATCAAGACGACAGGACGTCCTGCTGATGGCACAACCTTGATGTTTGGCACTGTGAGCGAAAATGACACTGTTGATCTGTCAGCGACGTTTCTGACGCTTACCAGTTCGAAATGGAATGTGCCTTCATCGTATTCACCAACTGCTGGAGTGTCACTATGGATCGTAGTGAGCATGGCTCCAGTTCCGTTCACAATACCAAGCATAATGTCCTTCACGCTGAGAACATTCATCGAGACAGGTAAGTTTCCCGCTCAGTTTTATTAGCATCATTTAGTTTAATCCAACTCCTATTCAAATTCGGTTTCAGTTAAATGCGTCTTTGTATTTGCATTCGACCATCAATTGAGAGTGCCATTCTAATTTGTTGTTTGAGCAGTCATTCGAATACTCCTTTCGTTTATACAAATTTGTCAGAGCTTTGGGAAGAGGTTGCTCAAGAAGTCCATTTAAAACAACCATAATTTCATCATACTTCCGTTAAAATTCGTTTCTTTGGAATATTATTCATGATTTTCTATTGTCCATGAAATTTCTTGAAAACAGAAGAAAATATGCATAACAATTAAGGGAGGAAGAACACACTTTATTTCCATGTTTCCAAACAGGGAAAGCCGTTGGTTATCTTTGGCATAATGTTTCCTGATTCGTATTTGTATGTCAAAGTGCATTTTCTATTTTTTGCCATCGTCACAGTCAAATAATTTAAAAAACTCTTTTTATACACGATGGAACCTCCAAATTCGCTTGTCATGTTTTCGATTTAGAACTAAATTCATTCAATTAAAAAGTGCATAACCGTCAATAAATTTCGCACTGGGTGACTAGAAGGGGAAGTTTGGGCAGTCATGATCATTGTACTTTGAGCTTTAATACAGGAGATACATCGAGCCGGAGAGTACAGTTTACGCGTAAATTTGGCAAATTAAAAAAAAAAGAAAAGTTCATAAAGATAAGATGCACATGGGACTGAAATGGAAAATACCTAGAAAAATAATTAGATTGTACTGTTTCCTATACTCCAAATTTACAAATTACCGATCAAAAATACACAAAGGCAAATAGTGATTTACAATTTGGGGGCAATATCGCTAACCTTCAGATGGTAAAACAAATATCACTTGAGCGAACTTTGATTATACAGTAAATGTTAATACTGATTAAAAATATTGCAGCAGTGTATTTCCTTAAATCACATTTTGAAATTTTATGATTATGATCTTTTCTCTTATTGCTTTGTTTAATTTCTTATCTTGACTGTGGACGTTTCCATACTGTAGTATTTATGGGAAAGACATACTCAAACAATCTGTATATTTCATCTGAAGTTAAGTTAACCACCATTTGTTGAAATGTCTGTTGACTGTAAATGAAAACGACAGAACCACAAAGATTGACTATCTGAATGTAACCGATGTGTGTGAACCTGAATGCACCAGTTCGTAAAAGCCGTTACAAGTTTGACTTACGACTGGCGAATATGGACAACTTATTGCCTCTTAACGACTCAGAAATACACGGCATAATCAAAACTTTGCATTTACATACAGACTGTGGGCCAGATGAGTTTGCTTGCTATGGTTCTGAAGTGTGTCTCCCGCCGAATCAGCGATGTGACGGCATCCCACAATGCCCCTCTTTGAGTGACGAGAGAGGATGCAGTAAGTAATTACAGTCACGAGACTCCGTTTGGTCAATGGTTCTGGGGTGATTTTTCAGTGACGGGTTGTTTTGACAAATTATGATATGACGGCTGTAGCGTTAATGCACCGTACCACAGAGACCGCAGGGCCTACCACTTAAAATGACTGGTAATCAAATCTCATTAAGGAATTATTACCGTAAATTAGCTTTGTTAGCAGAGATGCCAGGTAACGTATAATGTTACTGTAGGTGTAATAATCAAAGCCATGTGAGCGATTTATTTTGAGGCAAGTTTGATGTAATCTGTATTAGTTCATCAAGTAGGCTTCTCTGATACCTATATTATTGCTGTTTTATAACAGGCATTTGGAAAAGAGGACGTTTCTTTCTGTTTTGAATCGAAATCTCGATGTCCTGAGGAGTTTTGTTGCTTCCTTTGTAAAACAGATGGGTGTGAAGACAGTGTCTTTACCTGTGATGGCAACAGATGCCTGGACGAAAGTCTGCTTTGCGATGGACTTGCGCAGTGCCAAGATATGATGGACGAATACCTTTGTGGTAGGAACACATTGATTTGGATGAGTGGGCGAAAAGCGCCGTATGGTTGAAGTGTAGATTGGTTGAACTCTTTAAATTAATATTAATGACATTAACTATCAATGGGGTTCCTTTCGACAAGTTGGCATATTACATTTAAAGAAAAGCTTACTTTATATTACCCAAAACTCAACAGGAAAACTACAAAAAGCAAAACTTCAGTACAAATAAATGTCATTTATGCTAATTAATAATTTCAAATTGATGATTATATAATATAAATTATGTTTTAAAACCGATTTTCAAAACCAATGATGTGAACAAAGTCAATCAGTTTGATTACGTGCATTACTGCGTGTCAGGTGCCTTGAAAATTCTTGTTTTCTTAAGCAAAAACATTTTTGCTCAAGCAGAACTTAATGTAAAGCAAATATATCAAATATATATAAAATATCGATTATTTTACTAGGCCATTGTGTGGACACTCCAGGGATAGATCTCTCGGATGGAGAGCGACATGTTATATCTTACCAACTTTACAGCATCTTTCCTGAGTACAGCGGCCACGCGGGGGACTGTCTATTTCTCATCACTGCATTAGCAGATCACCGGGTAACCGTTTTACTGCGCCGTATCCCACAGAGCCATCTCGTGTATCCGAATCTGTACCTCGCTATGGGTGAAGGTCATGACATCTCGAACGAGTCTACGACGGTCATAAACGTCGACTTTTCCCGTTCAGACTTCATATCTTATAGAGAAGCTGTGACGTCAGTTGGAAGCTTGATGTGGATCAAGTATAAATTCGGAGCTCTTCCAAATGATCAGTTACAAGCCTTGGATTCCGAGATAATTCATTTGGAAATTGTACAGATAAGGAAAACAGGTATTTTAACTTTTGGAAAGATTTTATGATTATAGTTATTAAAGATTCATAACATCAGACAGCTTAAACGCGTATTAACATCTTTTCATAAATACCCCAGACAGTTTCCCTATTCAACACCGTGTAACTTGACCACGTATTAACATTTGATGATGCATCCCGAGAAGTGATAATGCTTGCTGCGTAAAAAACCCGTTGCACCTAGATACGAGACTGTTTCGTCCATTCCTATTGGTCAAGAGGGATCGTACGACGTAGCCCGGAGAACACCCCGCGCTCGCCAAGTCAATGTATACATATTCTTCTACACAATTTGCAGAAGGAATATACCATAAAACGAACGAGGGTGCTCGGGAAAATGAAAGTCAATACATAGAACAAAATCGTTGGAAATGTATCATTAGAAAGACTTCTTTGGACTCTAACTAAAAGGATATCTACGAATGGGAATAAATATGTACTTGACCGGTCTTAAACTAACGTTTCAGAGCAGCTCAGGTGAACGAACGTGGAAAATGCCACCGCCTGCGGCTCGGGGCATTAGCCGCTTCCATTCTTGCGAGCTGGTCTTAAACGCATTTATTATCCTCTTCATATAGTGGGATGAACTCAAGTTTCTTCTATCTGATAAACCTTGAAAAGCACCCACACATGGATTCAGAATTTGCTTTCCCGGTGGCCTGGTCTTTTGGGGGGTAATGGTCCATTTCTAGGTAATTTTGGCTAATAAAGACCATCTTTTAAACCTGGAAAGGGTAATTTCTGACCCTCAAAAGGTCTTAGATATAAATCAGTAGTGTGATTAGAAAAAAACCACTAATCTGCCCCTTCCATCAAAAACTCTTAAACTGAAAATTTTACTGTATGATTCCAGAATGTGAAGACACTGGACACGCATGCGCGTCAGGGGAATGTATAAGCCGATCTCACGTTTGTGATGGTTACATCGATTGTCCCGACTACAGCGACGAAATAGGATGCAGTAAGTATTTAACGTAAGGGTCCAGAATTGAACTGAGAAAGTACAAATTTTGAGCAAACAGGCCGTTAAAGGGCAAGACTGACATATCATCCGTGCGTATTTCTATTTGTCGCGTAGGTATTTGCTCCGGCGACGAATTCCTTTGTCTTTCTGAAAGTAGATGCGTTCATGAGACAAGCCTATGTGACACAGTGTCGGACTGCGCAGACGGATCAGACGAAGAAGTGTGCGGTAGGTATCCTTTTTTCTTTTACTGAATACTAATATGGTGAGCTATGGAATGATAGACGGAACCTTGCAAAATAGTATGATTCTAATTGAAACTACTCCATTTCATGTCGTGGTTTGAATTTCACCTGCACAGTTGTTGGTGTGGGACAATCTGCTCTGTACAAGCAGAAAACAGGGCAGTTTTTTTCTTAATTTTTTAACTGTTATTTGGAGTCAGAGTTTCCGTAGGGGAATACTGTTTGGTACAAAAAAAGCTTGGGACCAACTTATGTTTGTACGGTCCTGGCGTATACGTCTGCCACATGCATACACCCGTTTTATAAACTCCCGCCCGATAGTCTGGTTCCCAGGTCTGAATATAAATTATTTTCTTTCCATTCAGGGTCTCTTATGACCCAACGTCACGTGTGAACAGTAGAAATAGATGTGGCAAGGTCAATTAATCTTACTACATTTAAATTTATGCTCAATTCAAGCTACTGACTTTTTATCAAATTTAAACAGCCCGGTAAATGTATCCCAACGATAAATGTATCCCAGGAAAGATAAACTAATAGAGGATGGATCCAGAATCATTTTTTGGGGGGGTGGTCATGGTTATGTTTGGCAAGCAAATTTATGTAACCGTTCTGGCATTCTGGAGTGTTTTGCTACATTTTGGGGCAGTTTCCACACTGTCTGAAAGAAGAGAAATGGAAAAGATTAAAGCCCCTTTTTTCTTTCGATTTAAAAGGCTCTTAAGTTTTTTCGAGTGGCCGTACCCCGGCGCAGGTCCATCCTCGTATTAAATTAATAATTAATATATGTTTGTGCATAATAGTAAAGCAAGTGTATAATTGCTTTACTGTGACAAAGGAACTAACTCAATATACACATTCACCCTTTGTTCCCGTGTTTTGTCATCAGGTCCTTGTGGACGATACCTGATTGACCTTTCAAAGCAAACAGCTGAATCGGAACAGTTCTACAACCTGACTTCTCCATCCTACCCACTGCCGCCCTCTAGGAACGTCGAGTGCTCTTGGACGGTAATAGCACCAGAAGGAACGCAGGCCTTGGCGACGATAGAGACGTTGCAGCTTGGGTCGGCTGAACTGAATTTTGGCTGGGGTACTGACGCGACCAACATGGATTCCACAATCGGGCCTGATCTGAAGGACCAAGGCCTGCCCTTAGCTTTGGTGGCCTCAAGAGACAGACATCTGTGGCTAAAATTTCGTTCAGGTGGTTTATCAACTGACAAAGGGTTCTCCATTCGAATTGCATACACAGATTCAGGTACTTGATAGTTTTTGTTTTTTATATCATGCGCGATATGTGCGGTCAACAGTGAGGAAAGTAATGTCTTACACGTACGTCCACTGAGTGAGACGTGCCTTTAAATTTTATTTTCCAACCAGTGACTGCAATTAACAAAAATTATAACTTTATAAAAACTGATGACAAAATTATGATCCTGCTGGTTAGCTCTCCTCTTGCAACTACCGTTAAACGAAAACCTCCCTAGGTCCATACTTCATGTATTTTGGAAATTGTATGACCAGAGTTATTTGTTATGTGTTCTTTGATTTCAGCGATGTGCCAGGATGGTCAGACAAGGTGCGGGGCACCTGATACGATGTGTGTCATGGAAACTGCTAGTAGCTATGAGATATCGTACCTATGTGGACTTGGTAAGGGGGTAAAATTTTCATACTTACTCGGGTACCTGTTTCAGAATGCTATTTTCATTGATACAGAAGAGAAATCAATCGTATGAAGAATAGAAATAATCAATGCTGTCCTTCTTTATGTTGAAAAAATCGTACAATTGGCTGTATTTTTCGATGTTTTTACACTGAAAACCGTCGGTATCAGATGTCTGTGGTGAGAGGAATATCTACCTGGAGGAGGACCTTCCATACACTCTCACATCTCCAAATTATCCTCAAGAATATCCCGACGATCTGTTGTGCCACTGGGAGTTTCAAACGTCTAGTCAATTCATTATCATCAGCATCTTGGATTTCGAGACTGAAAATTCGTATGACTACGTAATGATAGCAGGGCCAGGCTTGGAGCTCGGAGATATTGCACACGAATCGGGTATCAAATTGCGTCTTACCGGAACAACGAGTATTACAACGGTATTGTCAGTGCTTCCTGCAATCAATGTCACATTAAAAACGGATGCGTCCATTACGAAGAAGGGATTCCAAATGGAGGTCGTGGCATTTGAAAAGTGTAAGTACCTCGGGCATGTCAATATATTCTGTGTTCCGTCAAATTCATATCTTGGAGGCTTTAGAGCAAAATCCTCAAACCAAACCCCAAAATCTGATTTCAAATTTCCTGGTTGATTAAAGGATACGAATAGTCGAAACTTTATCATTGAGTCTTTTCATTTCCTCATTCTCCAACAACAATTTCTAAAATCTGAGAAGCATCCTTGGAATCCTTGGAATTTGTATGAATCTTGCAATAATGTTGAGAATGTACAATGGTCGATCTGGTGGGGGAGGGGCTAACGGGGGCCATGCCCCCGAAAGAAAGAGCAATAAAAACTAAGAACTAACAAGGCCATTAAGGGGGAACACCCTCAAATCCCCCAAATGGTTCTGGATCTGTTCCTCGCATGTTGCCCTTTCATTTCCTGGTCTTTACGACTAACCTAAACCACTTGATTATAAATGAAACAAAAATCAACATTTCAGACATATGTTTGGTTTATTCAGTATCGCTGAGTGAGTGTTCAGGTGAACTCGACCTCCAGTGTGAGAATTCAACCTTATGTATTGCACCCAATGCCGTATGTAATGGTTTCAAGGACTGTCCCTACGGATTCGATGAACAACAATGTTGTAAGTATATCCAGGACGGATACAGTCAATGTTGCCGTGCAACCGCAGTGTGAGGTGAAAGACATTAGATATCCCTAATTTTGAATGTTTGAGCATTTCATAAAATGATATGGAATTTTGAACAATTCCATGCATTGAGAAAAGGTAAGCTAACACTGAAAACAAAGTATTCATTCTGTGATAAAAATGACTACTAGAGGTATATCGGGTATAGACGACTTATTATACCAAGATAGGACTAATAATAGTCAACTGTGACTGAACTTGGTCAAATTTGACTAATATTTGACTTGTCTTTGACGAATAAAGGTTAGTCACTGGCCTGTCTGACTAATTTAAATTGGTCAGTTAAGACACAGATTTGGAATAACTTTTATTAGTCAAAATGACTAATTTTTGTTTACAGCCAACAGAGTTAATTTATATACTATATGAATCAAACGTCTCAAAGATGTTCAAACCAAATTTGCTGTTTCATGGTTTCCGAAAATAGCCAATCATTTCGTTTCTGTCAAATTATTTTACAAGACACAGTTAGCTGTCCTGAGTTTTTCCAGTGCAGTAGAAGCAGAGAGTGTATTTTGTGGGAGGAGGTTTGCGATGGCACTGCCCACTGCTTGCTAGGCGATGACGAGATCAACTGTGGTAAGTTTCACAACAGAGCCAGTTGCCCGTCATGTACTGTTAAAGTTTCGTTCAGTGTAAACAATATCCCTATCACAGAGGCGACTTAAATCTATAGACCTCGAATGAATTAGCACAAATGTTTGTTCCAAACGAACCCTGAAAATACCTTTTGGTCTTGGGTGAAGCTGGAAACGGAGTCATGTTTCAGTTATCTGTTGCAGATTTGAACCGATGCCCAAGTGAGTGTAGATGCTATTACAAGGGTGACGCCCTCTATGTCAGTTGTCAGTCGGGATGGACAAGAGACACTCTTGATAATATGGCAGCTACTACCGATGTGTTGTAAGTACTATATAAAGTATGTCCAATTTCCTCCAGAAACAAGGCTCTGGGAAAAAATTCTACATCACAGGAAACAGGTGCATTAGACTTTTGTAAAAATAAATACACTTTCTCACTATCAAATAACAATATAAATAATATCCAGGAGAACATAACTTGAACCCACAAGTGTATCCTATTTCTAAAAGGAGGTTAAATTGCTGCCCACTCTTAATTAAATTAAGCTAAATCTAAAGTAAATTGAAATTTCTCAAACTAAAAGAAAATCACGAAATACCCGCAAATCATCAAACAGGAAGGGAATCAACTATTTTATGGGGCAGACTGAACTTTCTTGGCAAAGGGTAGAGAAAGTATTCATTGCTGAATCCACTGATAAGTGGCCTCTTTGTTCCCGGGCAAGGACTCTGTAGGATCCTTATTATTCTTCCACAAAATGGATATTTTCAAGATGTTGTTTTTCTTTGCGTTGGGGAGATGCTAACCCGTTATATAAAAGGATATTAGTTGGATGAAAGTGGAGCTCTATCAACGCTATTTTTAATGTCGAATACTTGGGTGAACCGCAAGATTTACACCAATATATGTTTTGTATATTTATCCAAGGGAGCTAACTAGAGGATCCGTCAGCATCCTGGAACCAGGCCATTTTAAACGGTTCTTTAAGCTTCAAGCATTGTAAGTTTGGAATTTTTTTTCTATTTCATGATTGAAGGCACCTTAAAGAAACCTCAAAGAAGCAACGAAGAAATGAGTAATAAAATACACATATTTCCATCTTTGAGCCATAGAATATCATAATAAATTTTAATGGTGTAATGTAGTGAAATATGAAAAGTAACATTGTTTACACAAAAAGCACGTTATCATTGGTGTTATTTCACTGGTCTCATTCGTCAAGGTAACAACGGATGAAGAAATATGATGTAATGTGTTGTGACGATTAAGTCTTTTCATATTCCATTGTTAAGCTCATGTCATCGGATATTAATGTATTTTACATAAGACCCAGCAAATATCTGAGAGCACTATTTTTTTGGTTTTCTTTGCTGTGCAAAATGAATAAGGATTGATTCTGTAACTTGTAACCGTGAAACAAAGTAAACAAAAAGCAACAAAATTATTCAGTGACAATGGACGTCGTTACTGCTACTGCAACATGAGCAATGAAACAATGACAACAAAGCATCTAACAATACCCATGAGATCCACATACATAAAGCTGCTGCTTAAGTCGTATCAATTTTCGACAATTAATATTTCTTGTCATCACAGGTACCTCACGAACAATCAGATACAAAACATCCCACCGCTGTCATTTGATGGTTTAGAGAAACTTCTTTGGCTGTAAGTTTCAAGTGCAAAATGTTGATCACTTTTGTATCCCTGGTTAGATTTTCTGCAAAATACACAATTATTATGTTTATCTGATGTTTAGAAAATCGTATCATTCAATGATAGAAACCAAATTACCTGTATCAAACTAGGCATCCGTAGAGTATTTATTGGATAACATTATTTAACAGGGAGCCTGTGAACATGTTTACGAATTTATTTGAAGCACGATTAAGTTAAATTACCGAATACAGTTTGTGATACATGTCAAAGCATTTCAATTTGTGTATTATTAGTTTCAGAGACATACTCAATTTGAAGCCTTTAATACGGTCTGACACTAGTTTATAACATACTGCGATACGTATGTGTGCATCAGTAGGATGTCATTTGCTGCCTGCTCGCCGTTTTTGACTGGACTTTGTTCTTCTAATTGTCAGGAATATTTCACAGAACAACTTCACTACATTACAAAAGGATGCCTTCAAAGAGCTGGAAATGTTGCAAGGACTGTAAGTGCTTGAGCATATCAATGACCACGTTTTCTTTCAACCTAGAGAAATTACAGATGTGTCCTTTGAAAACAGACGCTGTGTAACTGAACAATGGATAGGCAACGCCCCCAGAATATTAATAAATCAAAGCAGAAAAAATTAACGTCCCAGATTTGTCCTTCGATTTTATTTAACTTTTGCCCCACTGCACTTTAAAGGTCACCTACATTTTGCATGTGATACATCGCATGAAATGAAATAAAATTGGGCTTTCCTTACTATTGCAGTGTCATATCCAATGTTCCGGTGACAAATATTGAAGAATCAGCATTCAGTGGACTAAAGGAGCTCCGTACATTGTGAGTACAACCTATTGTGAGTGTTCATACGACCGCCATTGTTTCTTTTGGTCTTTTACTGGATACAAATAGTACACTTGCTCCAACATCTCCTCCCATGCTTGTAATCCTTGGCAGGCATTTTATACTCTCATTTTAACTTATAGCACGTGTTAGTCGTGCATTTTGAGACACTGTGGCTACGTCCGTAATTAGCTTTATGGATATGTCAATCGAATTTTAAAATGATTTCCACATTTTCTTCGAAACATAAGAATGCGTTAAGCTCATTGTCATAGTATTGCAGTAAATAAGTGAGTTCGTCCCTGTTGCATCAGTTGCCGTTTGCATGTTTTCTTTTTAAATGAGATCTTCAATCAGTGCTCAAACCTACAGTGGTTGCAATGTCCGCATGAATACCTTCCTTTTTTCTAGGGTGTTGATTCGCGGAAGTTACTTAGATGAGCAGGATTTGCCGATTGACATTCACCCTCAAGCTGTCCAGGATCTTACTAAGCTTCACACATTGTAAGACTTGTGATACTTTTTGCATTGAATACTATGGAAATTCGATACTACTTACCACTTGTAACTTACTACTTTATACCACTTGTTTTTATTAATGGATCGTTTGTGTTCAATTTGTGCGTCTATACAGATATCTCGATGACTATCACATATGCTGCGAATTCAACAAACTGGAGTCGTTCGACCCAGCTAACTGTTTTACCACTGAACAGCAATCGCCTCTCTTTAACTGTGGAAGTCTAATGCAGAACACATTCCTTCGTGTCTCCATGTGGTTTCTTGGCCTGAGCGCCCTGGTCGGTAATTTGGGAGTAGTTGTTTGGCGGTGTTCGACATCGGTGAAGACAAACATCGGCCAGGGTACCAAGTATGTGCACAATTTTCTCATCCTGAACTTGGCCGTGTCTGACTTTCTCATGGGGGTCTACATGGTAATAATTGCCTCAGCAGATGTAACCTTCGGGGAATGGTATTATACAATTGCTTCAAATTGGAGGCCAAGTGTAGCGTGTAAGATTGCAGGCATCATTTCAGTCTTATCCAGCGAAGCAAGTGTGTTCTTCATAACACTCATCAGTGTAGATCGGTTCTTATGTATCGTTTTCCCTCATGGGGGCATTCGACTTGCCAAGCCAACTGCTCGAGTAGCTGCTGTCATAATTTGGTTTGGGGCGTTCATTCTCAGTAGCCTTCCTACCATCTTAGTTGGCTCAGACGTAAAGTCAGACGTTTATGGTCTGTCGGATGTCTGTATTGGTCTTCCTCTTATCACTAAACCTGCTAGCTACAAGCTGGAGGAAGGTGACGTCGGCAACCCTTTAGGTAGTCAAAGTTTCAGGATTCCTGTCGCGCAGGACCACAGGCCGGCTTGGGTCTACTCCATCGTTCTCTTTCTGGGAGTTAATTTGCTGTGTTTCCTCATCGTTGCCCTGTGCTATCTTGTCATCTTCATAAAGGTCAGGCAATCCTATCAACGAGTGAAGGGCATACGGATCCGAGGCTCGAATCTTCATCAATCCAATAGAGAAGAGATGAACATGGCGCTCCGAATGGCTGTCATCGTGGGGACTGATTTCTGTTGTTGGATGCCTGTTATCATCATGGGTCTTCTTTCACAGACTGGTGCCGTTACTATTCAGCCTCACATGTACGCCTGGACTGTTGTCTTCATCCTCCCCATCAACTCATCGATCAATCCATACCTGTATACACTCTTCAGCGTGATCTCGGCCCGTCACTCAACTAAAAGCAGCCAAAGTTCCGTAAACACTACTCGGCTCAGCGAACTAAGCTCGAGACCCAAGGATGACATGAGGACTTGCGCCTGCGCAAATCCCTGTCCCGAGAGTAACACACGTTTATGATTTCGTACCGATATGAAGATAATGGAAGAATCCTTTTCAACACTATCGCTGCGAGATTAAAATTATATATTGCTTAACGTCAGTACTTCCTCTAACAATAAAGGCCGACATCCCTGGTATGGTTCCCTGTTTTTATGACGGGATCCTGTTTTGCAGTAGTTCTGTACGCATCCCCCAACGCCTCATTAACAGAGACAAGTTTTTTTTTGTAGAGGCAGTGGACTGGAACCTTGTCACGATGTGGGTTTAAATTCAGTTAGATTGCAATGGTGTCAATACTTCGCAATACAACAGTCTAAGCGGATCAAATATAACGAATTTTGTTTGCTTCTCACAGCACTGTGACAAAGGGGATTTCCCCAAAGCTACCTGTAAAATTTTAATATTTCCAGCAGTAACGAAATTAATAAACGCAAGAGTTTTGCAAGTCTTTGGTATTGTTATACAATGTACCTTTTGATGTACAACAGTTGAAAATGCAATCTTCCTCCACACAGGTTTATCCTGTGTTAGATTAACTAGGCCGTTTGGCCCAAGCACCGTACATATTTCTATTGTCCCTACTGAACGCCGAATGTATTGGAAGCATTTTGACCTTGGGCGTCTTAGACGTCGTTTACCATGCACCGGTGGGAAAATATAGTGCATGCCTTTGCTGGCTCTTCATCACGCAACTGGAGGCGAGGATGTGGCCAGCTGTCAGGATCTGACTCTTTGCATATGCACCCTGACGATTCTCTCCTTTGTTGAATTTAAAACACTCACCGGTGCAGTCGGGTAGTCTCAACTGATTCAGGTTTCATCTCATCTTGGTCTCGTTTGTTTGACACACGGTCCATTTTATGTCCTGGTTTACACGTGGAAGCTACTCGAACGCACCCAACAGTGGGTTGGTAGAGGAATTCTTTACTTTGGTGTGGGATAGGTTTACATCAGGACATAGGACTGAATGACTGGCAGGTGTGACATTCTTTTTTTTTTCTCCAGTCATACCGCTACAGGTCAGCAATTAGTGAAGCTTGATTGACGTTCTATCATTTTGTAACCAATGTTTATTGGGTATTTCAGTTTTACTGTATGTAATGTTACGCTGTGCTTAGTTTCTTGGAATTTTGGCAGCCGTTCCAGGCTGATACAGTTGAGTCAAACTTTAAATTTTCATATTGGGGCTTGGCCCTTGTTTTGGTTGCTACCACAATACTGTATTATTTGACAAAACTACTCAACGTTTAAAATTAATGCTAGTTGCTTTGATGTATCGATCTACTATACTGGTAATAGAACGAATGTAATGACCAGCAGATACAGGGTATTTAAAACATGTCATAAAATTGCGCCAATGTGTAGATTCATGTTACCAACACAAGGCAAAAAGTATTGGAAAATTTTAACACTCTTAATGATACTGAATACAACAGTGGTCAGTATCGTGAGAAAGAGGACCAAACCTAAAAAAAAAAAAAAAAAAAAAAGAGAGATGTACACCCATTCCCCGGGGTTTAATATGCTCATGGTTAAGGCAGTGCTGTTTCAGAGTTTGGAGCTTGCTTGCGAATAATTCAAGTTAGGCTTCACTTTCTCTAGACACAAAGGGGGAGGGTGGTCTCCGTCCCATATCTTGCTTGATATGATGGGTAATAAGGGCACAGAAGGAATAGTCCATTCCAGAGATGGTGGTCGCTATACAAAAGCTTGTCCCGAATCATGCATATGATGCGAGATATGGGGCGGAGAGATCCCCGGCCCCGCATTTGTGTTGGTCATTATTTGATCGGAATCTCAGGAATTCTGTAAAGACTTCGGGGGGGGGGATGTGTTAGGTAACAATAATCTAGAGTGCGTATAGGAATTAGACGTGGGGGGTACCTATCGACCCCACATCGTGCACGGTATCGAATCACGAGAAACACATGATGCAAGATATGTGGGAAAGGGGGACCCCTACATTGTGTCTTCTTTTGTGTTGATGGAATCTTTGGAATTCCTTTCAGATTTCTGAGGGGGGTACAGTAAGTACAATAGCCTCAGGGTATACAGCTTGCGCATCACCTAAGGGGGTCCCTCTTTCCCCATATCATGCCAGGTATCAAGAGAAATAGCAATGACGTCGTTAGTTTGGGGAATTCAAAGTGTTACGTTTATGTGCAATCAGGTATCTCAGTGTACCAGATTTTACTCGAATTTAACTAGCAAATGGCTTATTATGGACGTAAAATATAGGCGCTCTGTATTTTTGACAACGTGAACTACAACTTTTTTGATACATTTTATTGCGTTTTGGAGCCTTTCTTAGAAAATACAAGTATGTAGGCTTTCTGTGATATCCCGCAGAATGATGAGACTCTGACCATTGCCTCATACTCTGAGTCTGGCATGTCTAGGTGTGCTTGACCACTTAATTTTTGGTATTAACTGAAGTTGGCACTGGGTGAGTTAAGTGATGAAGAAAATGCAAAATCGTGATAATTTGTAGCGCTTTCTAAGCTGCACATGATACTTTTTTTCATAAATATGCAAGAGTTGGTTGTTATGTAAATATGCAAGAGTTGGTTTGATTGCCTCTCTGTTGCATATCCAGGTTTCCTGTTTCCTCTTTTAATATATCAATGACACACGGTTGAGATATATAAATTAAAGTAGCATAAGTGGAGTGATAATGTCATATCATTGTTAAGGAGTTCCCTGCAGAGGTACACCACCTCACACACCTTTGAGGACCTGCCGAGTACGACCTGTGATTCTGACGATACCCCGTCAATCAACCTCCATCTTTACACAAACATTCCCGAACTGAATATCGAAAGTTTCCTGTGTTGGTTTACAATACAACTGCGATATTTCTCATTACTACCTTTAAATGTTTTGCATTTAAAAAGGATTATTGTACCGTACAGTTGTTGTCGCTGAGTGTTCCTTTGGTTACTTTAAATCTGAACCAGCAGGTGCTGGTTGTCACACAACTCCAAATTGTCTAAATATAACTTATATCACCTGTTCTAGTTCGAATGTTGGTTATCGAGTACTTTTTTTTGTTGAAGTATCCACTTTTGCCACTTCTATAAGGATTAATCCTTGTCATAAAGCTAAACTAGAAAACAATTATTGTGACTAGCGTTTATCAAGGTTTTTACAAAGAGGCAACCGTGTTTTAATTAAGCCTGTCCAGACAATATATTCATATTACATGAAAAAATTGATATTCCTAAGAAATTCAATTAATTTTTGAGTACACTGAACACTACAGAGGATGATTCGACTCAAGTTAATTATATACCAAGCGTTGGCAAAGCGACAGGGGCGCGCGTAGTATCTGGGGGATTCCGGTGCTGAGGTGTGGTGATCCACTAGCAGTTTACCAGTTGCTTTTCTGTCGGATGGACAGTTGCATGTTGGTGTGAATCGCTAGTTGCTTTAGCCAAGTGCTGATGTACTTCACCAGCGTGAAACCCTACAGCAACCGGTAGGTGCAATTGTATAATTGCGGGACTGAAAATAATATAGTAGGAACTAATGGTGTTGCGATAGGGGAGTCCTGGGAATTGACCCCTTCCACACTTAATCGTTTTTCGGTTTCCCGCTCAGTGCTTTGACCCCCCAAATAATAAAAAAACTCTTTTGCTGAGGAGTTTGTGGTAATTTGATGAATTAGAGGATTACTTGCCACCTCAGAGCAGAGGCTGGGTTGCCATCTTCTAGCATGATCAGACTTGCCTTAACTGTTTTTTTTTGCAC